CAGAACACTAGAATAAGAATTGGGCAATGTGGTTTTCAGTTCTAACTGTGTCATTTGCTGTGTGACCTTAGATAAGTCACTTCCCCCAAATGGCCAAATTTCCTCATCTGTAAAATGAGGGGGTTGAGCCAGCTCAAATGTTTCTTCCAGGTCTAAAATACTATTATACTGCACTTTAACATACCAATTCAAGATACTCAAAATGCACCAAATATTAATTAGTTTCATGAGACTGCTTCTGCCCAGGTTGGTATCTTTAGTATTAGTAAGGCATTCAATGATCAGACAAAAGACCTTTCCAAGTATACCATATTTAATCTGCTGCATACAACTGAGATATACCCAAGAGAGTAAGCCATTAGGATAGTAAAGCCTTTTCCAGAGCTCTTCAGAGCCACATAATTCTTCCCTCCAGCATCAACATGAGGCAGGTAAATAATGACTTCTCTTTATTATTATTTCTTTTTAAGAGAAAACAAACTCTGTTGAGTCTTCCATCTGTTTTATCATTCTGCTTCATACCTCCCTTTAGAATGCAATCAAGTGGGAAGAGAAGCTCATCTTCTTTAAAAACACCCATTACCTGCATGAGAACCATACATCTGCTAATAGGAGTCCACATGTTCACTCGGGGATCTTAAGAATCTTCAAAGTCTGTCCTGTACACGAAGACTTTGGCCTAAAGCTAGGGTTCTTAGCCCAAGATCCATTAACTTTAAAAAAAATATATTTTGATAACTATAATCCAATATATTTTCTTTATAATCCCATGTATTTTGTTTTATGATTTAAATACATTGGTCTGAGAAGGAGTCTATAGGCTTTCACCAGACTGCCAAAAGCAGCCTATCACATACACACAAAAAAGATAAGTGCCCTTGACTGTGCACAAAGAGACAGATCTATACAGACAAGGAGAAAAAGGGGTGGTGGTGGTAGTAAAGCAGTAGACACTTGAACCTCATTGTCATCTAAACTAGTCAAAAGAAGGAAGAATACATACAAACACAGTTTGGCACAGAGAGATGGGGAAATAGAAAAACAAGGAAATCGGTGAGAAAAAGGAGAAGGGAGAATGGGGAACCAGAGAGAAAGTTTAAAGGAGGGATTAGTCCTAAGCAAAACAAATTCTGATGATGTACAAAAAAATATTTTTTAATGTTAGAACATTCTTTTATCTTTACCTTCTTTGACCAAGGTCACATACTTTTCTGTTTTATTTTTTTCTCAATTAAATGTAAAAATTTTTTAACATTGGTTTTTTTTAAATTTTGAGTTCTAAATTCTCTCCCTCCTTTTCTCCCCTCCTTGAGAAAGCAAGCGATTTGATATAGATTATACATGTGCAGTCATGCAAAACATATTGCTGTATTACCCATGTTGCAAAAGAATATAGACCAAAAAAAAAAAAAAAAGTAAACCAAGAAAAATAAAGTAAAAAAAATTATGCTTCAATCTGCATTCAGACTATCAGTTCTTTCACTGGAGGTGGATAGCATTTTTTATCATAAGTCCTTCAGAATTGTCTTGGATTGCTGTATTGTTGAGAATAGCTACAGCCGATTATCATATAATATTGGGGTTATTGTGTATAATATTCTCTTGGTTCTGCTCACTTCACTTTGCATCAGTTCATATAAGTCTTCCCAGGTTTTTTCTGAAAGCATCCTGCTCATCATTTCTTATAGTACAGTAGTATTACATCACAATCACATGTCACAACTTGTTCGGCCATTCCCTAATCAATGAACATTCCCCTCAATTTCCAATTCTTTGCCACCACAAAAAGAGCTGCTATAAATATTTTTGTACATGTAGGTGCTTTTCCTTTTTCTTTGATCTCTTTGGGATACAGATACAGTGGTATTGCTGGGTCAAAGGGCAGGCACAGTTTTATAGCCCTTGGAGCATAGTTCAAAATTGCTCTCCAGAATGGTTGGATTAGTCCACGAGTCCAAAAGTGCATTAGTATCCCAATTTTTCCCATATCCCCTCCAACATTTGTCATTTTCCTTTTCTGTCACATTAGTCAATCTGATAGGTGGTACCTCGGCGTTGTTTTAATTTGCATTTTGCTGTGATTTAGTGATTTAGAGCATTTTTTCATATGACTATAAATAAATGATTTCTTCTTCTGAAAACTCATATCCTTTCACCATTTATCAGTTGAGGAATGACTTGTATTCTTAAAAATTTGACTCGGTTCTCTATATATTTGAGAAATAAGTCCTTGCTGTAAAAAATCCCACCATCCACCAGGTTCCTGCTTTCCTTCTAATCTTGACAGTACAAAAATATTTATAGCTTTTTTGAGGAGGCAAACAATGGAAATCTGTATGTGATGTAATACTATTGTGCTGAACTCTTATCAGTGTAATGACCAACCAGGATGCAGAAGACTAAAGATGAAACATGTTTCCCTCTCCTGATAGAGAGGTAAAGAATTCAGAATGCAAAATGAGATAAATATTTTTTAGGACATAGCCAATGTAGAATTTTGTTTTGATTGACTATCTATGTTTGTAATGGGTTTTGGTTTTCTTATGTTCACAATAGAGGTGGGGAGAGTGGGGAGGGTGAGAAGACAAATCTTGGCTGATTAAAACAAAAAAAATTTTTTAAAGAAAACTTGGGAACTCTCATAAACAAAACAATGACCAACTACAATTCCTGAGGCCTTACAATGAATGAAGCATACTGCCCGACTCCTGACAAAAAGGTGAGAAACTCAATGTAAATGGAGACATAATTTTTTAGACATGGCAATGCAAAAATTGATTTTGCTTGTGTGTACATGTTTGTAATAGGGGTTTTCTTATTGTTTTCTCAATGAGAGGCATGGGGGGGCGAGGGGAAGGACAGAGAGAAAGCTGATCTTTGCAAATAAAATAAATATTTAATTAAAAAAAAAACAAGTATCCCTAATCTAAAGCTTATTAGACAATGGCATAGGCCTTTCTACCTCTTTTCCTCCTACAAAACTATCTCTTTAGCAAGATCCATTATTGATAGCTGCCAATAAAGAAACTGTTTATTATAAACATTTTCTACAGATGGACTTAATCACAGTTTTAATAAATGTTACGGTGTGTGCATGTGTAAGTTTAAAATTTTTTAAGTTCTAAGAAATGGTCAAGTGAGTAATGCCTGAAAGGACATCTACCAGATGAATCAGTAGTAAACCACTTTAGAGCCTACAGCCTGCTCTCCACACAAGCTGAAACACAGTAGGTATTAATGACAAAAAAGTATTTGAGGAAATAAAATTACATTTGCTCCAGGTAATGATAGACATTTAATACATCACTGTCTGCAAGACTAGCATGTCAGCCTTCTGTGATATTATTACAATCAAGTAACATCTGTTTCCTGGAAGGAGTGAAAGCCACAAGGCAGAGATAGGAAAAACCAGAAAAGCACCAGGATAAATGTTTGTTTTGCTTAACTGTAAAAAGCAAGTACTTTGCTTAAGTACTTAAGTGTACTTAAAATTATTGGGAATATTATTCATAAGTTACAGTGGTTATTTTTTAAAGCATTAATAAAACAACTAAAAGATAAATAAAAAAAGAGATAGAGACATTGTGAGTCAGAAACAGATTGAGACAGAGAGAGAGATATAGAAATAAAAACAAAGAGAAAAACAGAGACAGAGAGCCAGAGAGAAAGAGAAAGATCAAACTATGACCATATGCTTCAGAATGTCCTTAAATTAAAATGAAAATAAAAGGATGAAATACGTCACCAACACAGCTGAGAAATATCATTTTAAGTGATGTGTCAGAACCATTGATCTGTCACTGCATTTGCCATGCCGTGGAAAAAAAAGCACAAATCATGAATTCATGAGAGATGCACTGTTCTGAATGACATTAAAAATGGTGTGACTAGAATGATCCTACTTTGGGTCTTATTCTAATGCCTCACAGTGGTCAGGAGGTCACCTTGTGCTTTCTAAGGCTAGACCAACTTAGCACATGGTCTGGCAAATGCTACTGAGAAAAGGCCCAGAATATGCTCTTGATGATGAACTATGTGTCGACTGTCCAAGGCCCAGCTGACTTCACAACATACACAACAACAATATCCACTCACATAGCTGCCACCCAGTCATAGGCTCTCATCACTTTGGAACTATTGCCATATCTTTCAGGTTGGTCTCCCTGCCTCAAGCCTCTCCCCACTAGTCTATCCTCCACTGGGCTGCCAAAGTGATTTTACTGAAAACGCAAGTTTGAGGTGGCCCTACCCTTATTCAGTAAACCAGAGTGGCTCCCTATTGCCTCCAGGATCAAATATGAAATTCTGTCTGGCATTTAAAACCTGCCTCTCTCTTCCCAATCTTCTTGTGCACCGCTGCTTCCATGTTGTCTGTGAGTTAGACCGTGAGTTCTTTGAGTGCTGGGACCATGTTTTTGCCCTTTTTTTTTGGTATCCCAACGCTTGGCCCTTAATAAATGCTTGCTAATATGTCTGCACTTAATTGCAGTCTTCTGGGGTGGGGATGGGATGGGGTGGGGAGGCAAGGCAGGAAGAAGGGGGTAAAAAAAACAAAGTAAAAAGTGCACAGCAGAGAACAAAAGAAAACTTACAAGGAAATGAAGAAAAGATGGACAGCTCTCAACACAATGTGCAGTATTTATCATACAGGTTTTCTTGTAATGAAAATTTATCGTTACATACTTTGAATCCTCTCTTATGTTCTGCTATGTACCTGACATGCTTTTTTTCCCCTTTGTATTTAAGTTCCAATATTTAAATTTATGATTTTTTTTTCTTTTCTCCATTCTGTATTTGTGTTCTGGTGTTTGAGTCTAAAATAAAATTTTAAAAAAATGTTTTCTGGCTAAAAGAGAGGCTTACTATCAGAAGACTGGCCATGTAGGGATGACTTTTTTTGGCTACAGTAATTCAGAAAGATCATCTGATAAGGCGCGGAGGTAACTGGAAACAGCATTAGCAGAGGGAGTACCCATGCCAAGGGTCAAGTGGTTAAATACCTGGATCAGTGGCTGAGATAATTGCTCCAAACAAGAGACAATCTGTGTAGTAAAATTTGTCAGAGAGCTGTCCTACTAGCTTCATGAGCTTTACCACTCCATACATGAGATTCCTGTAAGAAGAGAAAAACGATCAAATTAGCAGGGCAGTTTCCCTGGGAGCTCAAGGAAAAATGAAAACAGAATCATCTACCCCAGTACCATAGAAGAGTGGTGTCAAACATGAGGCCTGAGGGCTGCATGCAGCCTACAACACTCCCAAATGAGGCCAGAACCTGATTAAAATGTGACTGGGAAATATTTAACATAATAAATATAAATGCAATGAAACATAGATAATATTACATTTTAAATCTAAGTCAATAGGAGACCAACAGGGATCCTTGTGTATAGATCAGTAGTCCTCATTTCTATTGGAGTTTACATCATTGCCCGAGAAAAGAGTGATACAAGCACCTAACACTCAGAGGCTACCAAATTTTAAGCGGAGGATCATCCTACTGCTTGCTCCCTCTCCCTCTCATTTGGAGCTTCCACAGAATAAATCAATCACACGACCAAAGGTCTAAATCAAAAGTATCCTTAAATGAAAACTTATTTCCCCTTTGGGGGAAAAAATAGGGAGATACCAATGTACTAGCATACGGTAAACAAGCTAACAAAAATGGAGTTGATATTGCGTGTCATGTACCCCAAAACTTCTTAAAAAACCTATAAAGAATTAAAGGGATGTTAGCACCAGGTAACTCTTTGTAGTCAATACCATTTTGCTGAGTCATTTGAACACTGTATTTTTAAAAAGGCAATGGAAAAACAATTGGAACAGCTGTTCGACAAGGTTTCCAATTAGCACTGTAGTCTCTTACTTAAGTTAGAGTTTCAGTTTCTAAAGAAGATGCTGAGGAACTAAATAACTGAGGAATAAAGTGTTTAAAAGCAACACACCATGACGTGATAGGAAATCCATAGGAGATGCAAAATTAATAAAATGGAAAGACAGAGGAGGGAAACTGGGCTGGCCATTTGACATGTGAGTTGTTTGCCTACTGCCTAAACCTAACCTTTGCCAAGAGTTGTTTGAAAACCAAGAGCAGAGTCCAATTTCAATAAACTCTCCTACTGGAATATAGAGAATTCAAGCAGGCTTATTGGTTTTATGAATCTGCCGCTTGTAACAGCATCAGCCAGCGAGAAGCACATAGCGTACAGACATAGGCAGCGTTACAATGCTTCCTCATTCCACTATGGGAAAGAGCCTCTCTTAGCACTCTTACTCATTATTTCTTCTGAGTCTTCAATTTGCCTTGAATAGGAACTTGCTTTAACTTAGAATAGAGAAGTTCCAAAACCCAGATGTGTGAGTCAAGATTAGGTGTGGGGGAGGGAGGAAGGAAAAGGGAAGTCTCAGCATCAGTGTACTTCTTCCTGATATCCTATCCTGATATGTCTTTTATCACCTGTAGCTTTAGTCTGTATCCATGAAAAATACATATAAAATAATACTTCTGCTTCAGACCTCCTCCACCTAAATAGTTAATCCAACTTCCCTTTGCAAGGCTTTCCACCCCCAATTTAGACCATTTTCCTCTATCTTGAACCTTCAGAGCTTCCTCAAAGGACCTGGAAAACTCATTCATACTAAGGTGTTAAGGATTTAATATCTCTCCCAATAGTTTTTGCATTTTAAGAGTTATACCAAGGGACTTTTAAAGTCCCTTTAAGGTAGAATTATAAGAATGACAGTTCTCAAAACAAATCATAAGGAACTGGATTTTTGTCTAATAGTTAAACCAATCTTAATCCAACTGAAGAAGTTGGATTACCCAAGGTGAAAGTCAATGCAAAAGAAAAGAGTATGTAGCAGGCAATTTTTGGGTGGCTTAGAGCTTAAATCTAAGTAAAGACCTTAGTAAAACCAAACTGTGTTCTCAAAACTAATTTTTAGATAATGCTTTAATGTTTCAAAAATGCTGGACTTTTGTCACTGCTCACTAACTAGGCTAAGGTGCTCTTGGTTCCATTTATCTGGAATAATGGGAGCCTCATGCCATCAAATTGTTTAGAAAAAGAAAAAACACAAAACCCTCTGACATGACAAGCTCTGAGCTACAACAGGCAAGAAATTAATTTTCCATTTTTTCCCCATCAAAGTATCTTGTTTCCACTATGCCAATGCTTAATTCAAAAATTGTCATGTGAATATTTCATGAAAATATGACTATTAACAAGTTTATTTAAAGTGCCTAAAATTTCTGGAGAATTTAATTAAAATAATTTTGAATTTACCAGAATTTCTCCTATAAGTAAAGCCAAATTTTACATTTTAGATCATTATGGTTACAGTTACCACTAAAATCACAAATATTGGGCTCTCAGGACCCACTCGTATTACAGCATTTCTGAAAAACACATTCACTCAGATCTATAAGAAGTCTCACTTACCCAATAATGAAACAGGAGACAGCAGTCCCTAAGAAAGCATAAGCCAGAATAGACCCAAGATTCCTGAAAAAGTGTCTCTAAATAAGAAAAATATAAATTACTTTGAGACCTTTGACAATATAGACAAGCCCACCACATCTCTCCAAAAAGAGAACGTTTACCTACAAGGTCAGTTTTGGTTATGTTAAAAGGTAAAATAATCAGCTTAAACACTGTGACAAGGAAAACTAATTCCTTGGCTCTACCAGCTAAAGAATAAATCAAGAAAAGCTAAGAAAAGCCAATGGGGATGCTCTAGTTAATCAAACCTAAAAGAGAGCTACTGCTTAGGTTTTATGTGGATGACTAATTGCCAAGACTCAGAATACACCTAACACTAAAATGACACTGGCAAGACAAATACCCCTTACTCCAGGAATATTTTCCTGATCTTCCTTTTTGTATTGATGTTTTTTCCATGAGACTTCACACAGCTTTTTTGTTCTATGCCTCTAATTAACTTAAAAAACATTGTGAGTTAAAGTTCTCTCCCTCTCTTTGTATTTGTCTGTCTTTTCCTCCTATCAGATGAAGCTTCCTCAAGGCAGAGAGCAGATTATGTCTTATCTAACTTGGTTTCTCCCCCAATGCCTATTAGCCCAATGTTCTGCACCCAGAAAGTTCTTAATAAATATTAGCTGAATGAAACATAATCATATCTGTCTTTGGTGATGTAGGAGTCACTTTGGCATCTTGTAGTAGCTGAGAGCTCAATATCATGGACACCTATTAGTTCAGGTGTTGGCACTCACTTGAAATGAATCTAGGGAAATCCCAACATTGGCCTTGAGGAAATGGAAAATAAGAAAACTGGGGGAAAATATAACTATTCAAATATTTTAAAGGATAAGGTTTCATCTTAGAAACAAGTCTTTCACACAATGTAAATGTATTTTAAATGGTCCAAAAAGAGGAGCTGGCCTTTGAGTAAACCATTTGTCTCCAGGGTTTATACAAAACGATAGCAAATTCTCCTTTTCTAAAGTCCCAAGATTTTGTGAGCTATCTTCACAGTCACATGAGGTTTCTTTTTACGGGTTACTGTGTCATGGTTTAGGATATTCAATATCTGGGGCATTCTCACTTGACAGGCAATAACTATTACAAAAAAAATACCTAGGATAAAAAAAAAAAAAGCTCATTTTAAAAATTAAGGAAGACCCTGAATCATCAGTGAGGCTACTGGCAACCAGAAATCAAAACTGAAAGAACTAGGGCAAGACTCACTGGTTAGAGACCTGCTCACATCTGAGTCTCAGCAAGGCCACTGACTGCCTTTATTCCATTGGCCCAAATGCTTGACAATGGCCACAATAGGGATTGGAGAATATGTAAATGGATCATTAACCCATCAACCCTAGCAAAAAAAAAAACCAACTCAAAACCCATGCCTTGCTGACCACAAGCATTGTCATTGTATTAAAAGTTATATTATTTTTACTTATCTCTGGAACATTATATTTGTCCCTTAAATCAGTTATCTTCTGATTAAAAAAAATAATTCATTTACATAGCAGCAGAACTTTTTATTTTAAATCAGATTTCAAAGAAATTAAGAACCATGAATCTACTTCTATTAGTTCCACACAGAGCTTAGCTGGGTAAGATGTGGGACTCTAAGGTGGAGGGAAGGGATATGATAAGAAGTAATCAGTAACATAAGTTCACTGAATCCTTGATCATCCACATATAAGTGACTCAGGATTAAGTGTTAAATAGTACCAGAATTTAAGAATGCCTCAAAGAAACCAAGCTGCATCAATTAATTGGAGGGTTTTTTTTAATGCATGAAGTAAAGAAAATTGAAACTAAAGGATCAAAATTTTTTTTCAAAATAAAATACTATCTGCTTATAATTATTATATTTAAACTGCATTTGCAATATTGGAAAAATTATAGTAAATTATAAACAATTATTTAAAAGCTCTTGTGTTACTTGATGCAAATGAATACACCTGGTCCTTTAAGTGTTAGCTTTCCACTACCACTCAGCATGCTTTATGCTCACATTTTATCCTTTGATTTATAGTCAAGTAATTCAAAATTACATTAGCATGAACCAAAGCAAAGCACAATAACAAAGTAAATCTACTGTCAAAAAGAGAATATGTTTCAAAATAGGAGCACTCTGTGTATGTGTGTGCTTATAGGCATATAATATATGGATTTTTCTTGCTGTCATTACTGTTGTAAATAATCTAGACTTTAACATAGCTCAAGAGAGACTGGCAGAAAGAGAGCTCACACAGCTATTTTTTGAAGAATTCAAAATATATCGATATTTCTATAGTGTCCCTTGAGATAACAGGGAGAAGTGAAGTAGAAAGAACTTAGTACCTGTTTCTCCATTATCAAAATACCTGATTTTGTTCCTGTGGTGTCTAACTTTGGCTGGTTCCATAAAGCCTCCCAAAGCTTCCATGCTAATGAATGGAAGTGGGTAGGTGGGTAGGGGAAATGGGAGACAACACATTTATGTGGTAGGAAGGGTAGAGGGATGGAGGAAAATGGACCCAAAGGAACTTAAACCCAAGAAAGGCTAGGATCCATTAAAGAAGTATTTATAAAGCACCTACTATGGTGACAGAATTTTCCATTGAAAATCCACTTGGTACTATTACTACCTATTAACTAGTCTTACTATGCTGAAGCCAAACTAGATTTTCTTGCTCTTTAGGTATTCAGAAGCAGTGCAGTTTAGTAAATAGAGAACTAGTCTTGAAACCAAAAAGATCTGGGTTCAAATACTCTCTCTGACTGGTCATGTGGCTTGTTGATTGATCAATTGGTCTGGAAACAGATTTCCTTTCTCAGAAAAGGACTTTAAGTGAATTATGACAATTCATATTTATAAAGCACTTTGAGAATTACTAAGTGCTTTCCTCATAAGGATCCTATAAGGTAGGTTATTTACATTTCACAGATGAGGAAACTGTTAGGAGTTTCCTCCATAATGGCTTTGGGGCACTAGGTGGCTTAGTGCTGGGCCTGGAGTCAGGAAGACTTATCTTCCTGAGTTCAAATCCAGCCTCAGACACTTACTAGGTGTACGGCCCTGGGCAAGTCTCTTATCCCTGTCTGCCTCAGTTTCCTCATATGTAAAATAAGTTGGAGAAGAAAATGGCAAACCACTCCAAGATCTTTGCCAAGAAAACCCCAAATGGGGTCACAAAGAGTCAGACATGACTGAAACAACTGAACAACATATAGTGGTTTTAACTTATAAGAGGTTAAGTCACTAGACCAGGGGGAAATAACTTCTATGTGTCACAGGAATGATTCAGACATAGGTCTCAACTCCAAGAACAGTGCTCTAATACAACATGCTTGTTTGCTTTTTTTTTTTAAATGTAAATTTCCCTTTTTTATTATGAGCTTGAATGTCAACAAAAGAATCTCAATACACAAAGAACAAGCAAAAAAAAGAATTGTATATAACATACTTTTAAAAAGAAACACTTTGTCAAATAATGTGTGCATTAGAGCAAAAACAAAGATGATGATGATTTCCTGAGTCAGAGAAATGAGACTACATCTTTGTGATGAATAGATGGGCATAAGCCAGAGAGGCCTGAACATATCTGTTTACACATCAGCAGTTAGTGATGAAATATTTATAAGGTTTAATTGACGGGAGATTTAATACAAGTTGGCATGTATACAATAGCCCACACTACTGAAGTGCCCATAAAGGAAACTCTTCAAAAAGGGAAAAGATGGTAACCTGAACACCAATGATGATCTAATCACTAGCTTTTAAAAAGCAGCTTCAAGTCCATACCAGCAGAGTCTATCATATCTTTTTCTTCCAAAGAGAAAGCGGCTGTCAAAGAGGAGGCTCTGGGGAAATTAAGGTGCTTTTCACATATTAATGTGGTTTCCACTCTCTGAATCTCAATTTTATTACAAAAATGAACTTGAGAGAAGCAGTGTGGCAAGTGGATGAAAAGGTGGTCTTAAGGAGAGACAGCTTGGAGAGCCAGGAAGACCTGGGTTTGTAGTCCTGCCTCTGAAACATATTGACTCTGTGACCCTAAACAAGTCATTTCAACTTTCAGATTCGAGGCAACACTTTTAAATTGTGGAAAAAGTGTCAAGCTGTATTGGTAGAAGGAGCGTCCTCACCTGGGAGTTCCCTATACCAGTGAAACCTCAGGTCTGGTTCTCTGTCTCTATGAATCTGATTACATGTACATACATATGCCTTATACACATATATGTACACACACACATCACATACAAGTATACACACCTGTACATCATACACATATATATGTGTATATACCTATATATGCCACATATACATACATGTATATACACATATAACTATACACATATATGTACACACATATACCATATATAAGCATACACACATATACCTATATACCATATACACGTATATGCCTATATATACCACATATACATATGTGTATATACCTATATAACTATATACACACATAACTATACACACATATACCATACATACATGCATACACACATATACATAATACACATGTATATATCATACACATATGTGTATACACATACCTACACACATATGTATATGTGTAAACATATATATTTTAACACTCCACACTCATTAACAAATCTCAGCTGAATGAGTAACAAATGTTCTTTTCAGGTGGAGAAAGAATTTTCTATAAAGTAATAAGTATTTCTCATATATAGTCATGTGAAGGGCCATGGAGTTGCAGAAGGAACATGGCTGACCCCTAATGAACGAGAGATTACTTTTTAAAAGTCCACGTAACACAGAACATCTGCAGGAGTTGGCAACAAAGGAGTTAAGTTTGCTCAAAGCCAGTGACTGCTCTGCCAACAGAACTGGTTGGATATGCAGGTGCTCCTCAATCCACAAGAATGCTGTTGAGCTCTGCTGGCAGCCAACAGCTCACATCCTGGGGGGGTGGCTAAGAAGGACTTCTTTTAGCCCTTTGCCAGAAAAGACTGATAAAAACAAGGCCTAGGTCTGTTCCTCCAAGGGATCCTGCTGAAGGAAATTCTCTAATCTTGTGTACAGACTTTGGAGTTAGGAAACAGGAAAAAAGTCACAGACATTCCACACCAACTCAGCCCCCTTTCCCCTCTAACCTCTTATCAAGCCCTTCCCTCAAGAAAAGGTTGTGTGGTGAAGTGAGTAGAACTAGGAGAACATTGTGCACAGTAACAGCAGTACTGCATGATCAACAACTGTGTATGACTTAGCTATTCTCAGCAATACGATGATCCAAGACAATCCCAAAGGACTCATGATGAAAAATGCTACCCATTTCTACAGAAAGAACTGATGGAGTCTGAATGCAGATTGAAGCATACTTTTTTAAACTTTAATTATTCTTGGTTTGGTTTTTTTTTTTTTGGTCTGCATTTTCTTTTGTAACATGTCTAATATGGAAATGACTGCATGACTGCCCTCGTATAATCTATATCAAATTGCTTGCCTTCTCAAGGAGGAGGGAGAGAAGAAAGGGAGGAAGAGAATTTGGAACTCAAAATTTTTAAAAGCGAATGTTAAAAATTTTTGTTTACATGTAATTAGAGAAAAAATCCACAAAAAAAAGAAAAGTTTGTGTGTAAAACAATAGCTTTAACTCAACTTTCCACAATTCCCAGCTTCCCCTCACTGTAGGAATAATCAGATTTCAGGTTACTTGGGTGAAATACACTGTTAATCACTCAGCTGCATTTACTGAGTAATCATTGGGTGATATGGAAGAATATAACAGAAATAAGACCACTCGGAAGTAGATTTTTACCAGAGATATTACATGCTTCAAATTATTAAAGCCTCTTACCTTCTTTAAACTATATCCAGCATGGAAAATAATTGGAGGCAGCAAAATATTGAAAAATACTTCTGGATCAAAAGTTACCTAAAAAGGTTTAAAAAAAAAAGAAATTCATTTTTCATTAAAACACATTTGATGTTATGATTCATTTAATATTTCAACAAATATTCAATAATGATTCTGAAGGTATGAGAATATAGAGCATTAATGTGGACAACCATTAACTTGAACAAGAAAGCAGCCATCCAAGAACATTCAGAGCAGCTAGATGAGCTCTCTTGTCCTTCTTATGTCTTTATATATAAATAGAATAGGAATAGAAATTCCTGAAGCATCACTTTAGTATTTAACAAGGTATAATAATTAGATTCAATTTTGACAATTCATTGAAAGTGCTTTACCAAAGTTTCCACACATAAGCCATTGAACAAACTACTAGATCTTATATTGGTCCAAATATAGGTCATCCCAACAGGTATGCTTGCTCCATTATCCCTTTTCCAAATTTTCTCCTAAGTCTCTGGATTTCTCCTCTATTTCCCAGCAGCCTACTCGCCTTGAAAAATGTCTGTCATTGTGGGCTTCTAACCATGAAATATCCCATCACCTTTCTGGCCACCTCCTAAGACTGGGTATTTCCCCTGGAACCTCTATTTTGAGTAGGTGCCCAAACCACTCTTTCATTCTTCTCTGAGCTCTGCTCCTGCCTCTAAGGACTTAAACAGGTTTCATACAGACCTGACTTGGTGGGGAAAATGTGGCACCTATTTAGAGCAGTGCAATATAACCAAATAAAGGGAATAAGCATTTATGCAGCTCCTACTATGCACCAGACATTGTGCTAAGAGCTTTTTAAATATTACCTCATTTAATCCTCACAACAACCCTGCGAAGTAGGTGCTGTTATTTACTAATTTTACAGATGAAGAAACTGAGGCAAACAGATTAAGTAACTTGCCAAGGATCACACCACTAATAAATGTCTGAGGCTCAGGTCTTCCTGATGCTATCAGGTCCAGGATTCTATCCACTGTACCCTCAAGTACCAGAAGTGATCATCAGAACAATCACCACAGAGCACAGAGGTCCCCACTAAACAGCTGTTTTCTAAGTGGGGAGTCTTTTGACCCTGTAGTTTTGGGTGTCTTTACAATACTTAGATCACAGTTGTTTGTGGCAACTACTAATGTCATCACAATTGGCAACTCAAAATGGACTGAAATTACTGAGTTCTTTGAAACGGAAAACTCACTCAAGAACCACTGGAAAGCAATGCCTTCTTATTATATCCAGCAAAGGTTTTGTATACTTTCCAAGCTTGCTTAAATCTTCTGGGCATGCAGACTAATATCCACCTCTTAACACAATTATTTTCCTTTTAGAAACTGGAAGTTTAAATTTATTAAGCTGAGAAACTATAGAATTAATTCACATTAGACACTCCTCCATTTCATTTGAAATGTCATTTTTGTCCATATATAATTTGGTAAAATAATTTCTAATAATTTCCTTTGCTACTTCTTCATTTGTTGTGATTTCTCCTTCTTTGTTTTTGATATTGCAGTCTGAGTTTCCTCTGTCTCCTTTGATTAGACTAATGGATTATCCATTTTACTGAGTTTTTAAAAATAGCTTCAAGTTTTATTTATTAATTCAATTTTTTTTCTTCCAGTTTTGTTCATCTTTTCCTTGTTTTTAAAATTTCTATTCTGGGTTTTAGTGGGAGGTTGTTGTTGTTGTTATTTTCTTTAATGTGTTGGTTTTCTCAGTTCATTCACTTTTCTACCTTTGGGGATGCTTAAGGCAAAAGGTGGTTTCACCCCCGTGGTCCAATACCTCAGGTGAAGATTATCTACCCTGCTCACTTGTCAACTCGTGGCTGCAAAGCTGTGACTGGGAATCAAGCCTTGGTCTGGGGAAAATTCCCTGAATTCCATTATTCTACTCCAATTCACTTTCTCTTTAGTTGTACATATATAAGATTCCCCTACCCCCTTACTCAATAAAAATCCATTGGTTTGCTATCAATACCAGATAAACTCTAGTGGCTTGCTATGAGATCAGATATGAGGTCCTTTTTCTAGCATTTTAAAAGCTTCATAACTTGGTCCCCTTCTACTTCTTTAGTCTTCCTATGCTTTAGTCCTGCAGTCTATGAACCACCTATTCTTACTTTTCTTGATCATGACGCTCCAATCTCCTATTTCCATAATTTTGCACTGGCTGTCCCTCACGCCTGGAATGCTCTTCCTCTTCACCTGTGTTTCTCAACTTCCCTGGCTTCCTTCAAAATTCAAATTATTAATATCATCTGAATCTAAAATCTTGTAATATCACAAGCCAAGAGAGGATTAATCATCTTGAACACCTGACACTGACCGAAGACCTCTTTCTCGTAGCAGTTCAGTTGAGTCTTGAGCTAAAAATAGTGGGGTTTGACACAGAGGGCAAGTATATTTGAGTCATGCATCTTTGACTGTATTTCAAAGTTTAAATGATCACAGAAATTTTGCCCAAACCAAAAGAGACAATGTACATAACAGAAACAGTGTTGGGCCAAGAGTTGGGAAGAAGTAGGTTTAAAACATTTATTATTTGAGAAACACCCTGCACATGTAGTTTAACCTCTCTTGGCTTAGGTACCATTGTTTAAAAATGGGGATAGTAACTGTAATACTCACCTCACAGGACTTTTTAGGGTCAATGTATATGGAACACTTTGAAAACCTTATAATATTACATAAGTGGTAGTTTTAAAGTTGTTATTATAATTCAATATCAACTTGGAAGGAGGTCTCTAGTTGAACATCTAGGGGATCTGTGCTTGTCCCTAGGTTTCTAACATGTTTTATCAGTGACCTGGATATAGGAAGACATTGTGTGCTTATCAAAAATGTCCATGACACAAAACTGAGTGGCACAGAATTCACATTGAACAAGAATGAAAAAGATGAAATTAAATAGTGATTCCTCACATTTGGATTCCTAAAATTAATTTCACATGTCCAAGATGGGAAAAAGCAGAGGCAGATAGCAGTTGGTCTGAGGAAGATTCAGAGGTCTCAGTGGACTCAATGAGTAAAAAATGTGATACAAGGCATCATCTCCAGTATGGATGGACTATCCTTTCCTTGTGTCAGACACTTCAACGGCACTAAGTTTCGGACATTACGTTTTAAAAAGAACATTTCCTAAAGCTGGAAAGTATCCAGACAACCAGGCAACCATGACGATCAAGAACCATGAGTTCATGGCATACAAGGAATAGTGGATGTTTACCCTGGAGAAAAGACTGGACGTGGGAGGGTAAGGGAGGAGAGGAAGAAAGAAGTGGTGTCTGTATTCAAGTGTTTCAAAGGCTGTCATGTGGAAGAGGGATGAAACTTGTTTTGTTTGATGCCCAGAGGCCAGAAGTAGGGACGCTTCCAAAAGCTGCAAAGAAGTAAACTGAGGCTTGATAGAAGGAAGACCTTCCACACAACTCTGGATGCCCAAAGGGGGAATGAGTTGCATTGGAAAGTACTGGGTTTCACTTTAAGTGGAGGCCAGATGACATTGGCAGGGGGGAATTTCTGTTCAGGAATGGGTTGGCCTAGATGGCCTTAGAGGCCTCTTCCAATTCTGAAATTCTATGACTCCGAGAAGAGCATAAGCTTATGGATCACCACATCCAAATTTCTCGTTTTACTGGTAAGGATTCTGAGGCCTAGAGACAGGTCAGGTGCCTTGACAGGAGTCACAGAGCTGGCTAGTTAGTTTAGTTATTTTTTGTTGTTGTTCAGTGAACTCAATCATGTCCAACTCTTCATGACCCCAGTTACGGTTCTTCTGGCAAAGATCTTGGAGTGGTTTGCCATTTCCCTCTCCAGCTCATTTTACAGATGAAGAAACTGAGGCAAACAGAGTTAAAAGACTTGCCCAGGGTCACACAGCTAGGAAGTGTCCAAGGCCAAGTCTGAACTCAGGTAGTCATGACTCCAGGTCCCATGCTCTATCCACCACTTAACTGCCCCAATATTTATATAGTGTTTTCAAGTGGTCAAAGAAACTTAGAAGTATAACCTTGCTTCATCCTCACAGCAACCTTGGGAGATAGGTGCTTTTATTATTCCTCACTTTATAGATGAGAAAAAATTGGGGCTGGGGGAAAGAAGTGATTTACCTAAAGTCAAGGAGCAAGTTGGTGTCAGAGGTTAGATTTGAATATAGGATTTAACTCCAAGTCCAGCACTCCATTATTCACTGGGCCTGCCTATGCAGTAGAAACTATTTATGTGGCATAATACAGACTAGCTCTGATTCATCTCCATCGCCACCCCTCCCCGCCACATCCAACTGCCCACCAAACATTTACAATTAAATGACCCCAGAGGCAGTGGTGAAGTGGAGCCAGTTTGATTTGACAGAATAGATTGTTAAAATTTCTGTGTGAGCACTTATTGCCTGGAAATCAGCAAATACTACCAATCAGAGCTTGATTTATTATTTTATTGATTATCTAGAATTAAGAAAGTAATGGTAAAAATGTTAATAATGAAGATTAAAACTAAATAGTGTATTGTTTACACTTTTCTGCAGGAGAGGCGATTATGAAACTTTTACCAGCACCTGCTCATATGCATCTCAACATCGACATATCCAGACAAAAAGACCATCTCCACATCCTCATCTCCAACCATCCCTCTTCCTAATGTCCCTATTTCTGTAAAGGACACCATCATCCTTCCATTTCCCCAAGTCTGAAGGGTTAGGGTCATCCTCTTCTCTTTCCCTTATACCCCCAAATCCATTAGTAGTTAAGTCCTGTCAAATCTGGGGGCAGCTAGGTGGCACAGTGCTGGGCCCCGAGTCAGGAAAACTCATCTTCCTGTGTTTAAATCTGGCCTCAGACACTTACTAGCTGTGTGACCCTGGGCAAATCACTTAACCTTGTTTGCCTCAGTTTCCTCATCTGTAAAATGAGCTGGAGGAGGAAATGACAAATCATTTCAGTATCTTTGCCAAGAAAACCTCAAAAGGGATCATGAAGAGTCAGACATGTCTCAGCAGCAGCAACATCTCTCTAATCATAACTTACCTCAACT